TCCACCAGCAGGACTATTTAGGCAGAGAAGATGAGAACAGAGGCCAAGTGGAAGAAGAATGAGCAACAGAATGCAGAGGAGCAAAGGAAGATACAGAAACGCATTGGGAGATGTAGCCAGAAGTGAGGAAGAGAATGTCAGAGAAAGGGGCAGGGAAAAGAAATGAGAAATGAGCTAGTGAGAGGTTATATAAGCAGACCAGCACGTTTTGTTATGGGTTCTACAAGCAATAATAATCATAGCAGTGATGTAGTAGTATTAATACGCACCCATCAACTGCAGTTGTGCAATCACTCTGGCTGAATCCTGATTCAAATCTGGCCAATTCAGGTTGACCCAGGATTCAGTTGGAGTGGGTTGAGGCCTGGATCCGGGCTGGGCCTGGAATTGGATTGGGGAGGCTCATGCGAAGCCCTACTATCAACCACACTTGTTCTCATTAGTAGATATCAAGCAGGATTCCTTTCCAAGACAACAAAAGAGCAGATAACATTGACTTGTGTGACTGTTGGATTTTTTTGTGGGTTGTTTTTTTTGTGTGGGGGGTTGTAAGTGTATTCTGCCAGATGTCATTGACATAATAATGGTGGATTTATCCTGGACCGTTTACCTCATTCCACTTTATTAGTTGTTCTGTGATGCTTCCTGATTATCGCAATCTGCAAGACATCCTTGCACCACGAAATCACCACCAACCCCGCTCTTCAACATTTGTGGTATGAAAAGCTGCAGGATTTCGGCAGGAAGCTAGAGGACATAAGGTAACTGGATTCAAAGCAGTAGGTCCATCCTGAAAACTTTGCAGATGCAAAAGAAAACAGATCGCATATAACCACCCTGATTCAATCATGAGCACAAATCATCATAAATGCACAAATGATGTCTGGAGGGACTCTAGATAAAGGTTTGCAGCTAATACACTACTGGCTATTACATACCAACTTAAAGTCTTATTGTCTAGATTATCTGCAAAATAAACTTTGATGGCATAATTACAGATGCGATCTGAAGGCACTTAGGAGGCCATTATTAGAAGCAAAAATAACCACCCTGAGCTAACAAGAGGCTTAATATATGAACAATGAAAAGTAGTGATGTATGATAGCTACTCAAAATTGTAAAATACTGTACAGATGCAGTACACCATCCTTTTTTCAAGAAAAAACAGGCTGGAGAAAATAGAATGATTGGCTACAGGATTCCAGATTAAAAATAGCTATTACTAGATAGTCCTTTTAAGTTACGCGGGTGGTCCTGTGGGTTAAACCACAGAGCCTAGGACTTGCCAATCAGAAGGTTGGCCGTTCGAATCCCCGCGATGGGGTGAGCTCCCGTTGCTCGGTCCCTGCCCCTGCCAACCTAGCAGTTTGAAAGCACGTCAAAGTGCAAGTAGATAAATAGGTACCGCTCTGGTGGGAAGGTAAACGGCGTTTCTGTGCGCTGCTCTGGTTCACCAGAAGCGGCTTACTCACGCTGGCCACATGACCAGGAAGCTGTACGCCGGCTCCCTCAGCCAATAAAGCGATATGAGTGCTGCAACCCCAGAGTCGGCCACGACTGGACCTAATGGTCAGGGGTCCCTTTACCTTTACTTTAAGTTGGGGTTCTCCAGATGTTGCCAGACTACAGCTCTATCATCCCTGTTCAATGGTCATGCTGATCATATATCATGGAAATCCAATATCTGGAAGGCCAAAGGTTTACTACCACTGTTTTAAGATGATAAGGAATCAAACACTTATGAGATGGCATCTATTGATTACTAAAATTCTTGGGATGGCAAGATGTGCCTATGGTCGAGTAGTGTAAAAGGTGCATCAGAAATCACAAGGTGCTGCTGAGAGGAATGGCCAGGTTAGTGTCTTAAAAATTTATTTATCTTATTTTATTTATTAAATTTCTATACCACCCTTTATCCGACGATCACAGGGTGGTTTACAATAGAAAAATGCAAAAATACATAACATGGGAACAAAAGAAAACAATAACTCTTTCCCCTACCCCAGTTTAAAAGGCCATAGATTGGCTGATTAGCCAACGGACTGGGAGAAGAAGAATATGTTTTTGTCTGGTGTCTAAAGATATGTAACCAAATCACCAGGGGAGCCTACCTAAGAAGAGCATTCCACAAGCAGGGAGCCACCACAGAAAAGGCCAGTTCTTGTGTTGCCACCCTCTGGACCTCTTGTAGAGGAGGCACATGAAGAAGGGCCTCAGATGATGATTGCAGGGTGAGAGGACCCTCTGAGTAAACCCATATAATATACCCACTCCTAGCTACGTGAACATGAACAGAATCACGTCCAGTTTTCCAAGGTTCATTTCCTAAGCTCAGCATACACTTCAGATGAGCACGATTCCATAGGCCTCCGTAGGCTGGATACATTTTAATGTGTTTTTCAGACATGTAGAACGCGAATGTATGTTTTAATCTGTTTTTATATTGCTGTTTTTATGTTTTGATTGATTAACAGAGTTGTTTATGGTTCTTCACTGATAATTTTATTGTTTTCTTCTCTTTGTAAACCGTTTTGATGTTTTTTTATATAAAAAAACAATCAAGCAGTTAAATTTTTTTATGAAATAAATAAAATAAATAAGCAAATAACACCACTGCCCATCTTTTTTCTTTGGCCATTTTACAAAGCGAAAGAGTCATCTTTAATAGCTGTGATCAAATGGATTAAATGTGGTTTCTGTCTGACTGAGTCTGCTGACTTCAAGCTTTGTAGTACAGTATGGATAGGATCCAGAAATACGACACAACTTGGGGGTCACTTTGCCCAGTGAAAAACAGCAGTGTAACCGCTCTGGGTTAGTTTTAACGGAGAGCAGATTTTCTAAACAAATTAAGTGGCCACAGGATTAAAATGAACTGATGATATTGATAAAAACCCGCATATTTTACATAGAAAGTTTCCCCGGGGAGGAAAAAGCTCCCCCTTCTCCCTGCAAAAATTCAATTCCCAAGGCTCTGCGCCATTCATAATGTTGCCTTCAGCCTGGAAAAGCGGAACAATAGGACTGAAAGAGTCATGAATTACACTCATTCATCTATAAATGTCAGTGGTACCAGAATTAAATGCTAGCATTGTTAACTACTTTGTTGCCAGTAATCACCAAGGAAGCAATTATTTGTAATTATTTATATGTTTGTTTCAAAGACTTTTTTCTTCTTCTTCCAAGGACCAACCAAAGTGTTATTTGTTTATTGCATTTCCACCCCAACCTTCTCCTGAATGCCTTGCTCTCCCCCCCCAATGGGTTTTTTGTTTGTTTGTCTGTTTTGTATTCTTTGCTGATACAGTGGAACCTCAGTCTTCGAGCATCTCGGAAGCTCAACAATTCAGAACCTGAACGCCAAAAACCCAGAATTGCTTCCATTTTCGAACACACCTAGTAAGTCGAATGCCTTCTGCTGCATATTTTTCCATTTTTTCAATGGATTTTGCCAACCACCCATTGTCAAACAGTCTTCTGGAACAGAATACTTTCAAAAACCGAGGTTCCACTGTGAAATTAAGAAATACCTAGGCCATTTTACAGTGGAACTTCGGTTTTTGAAAGTATTCCGTTCCGGCATAGCAGCAGCGGGAGGCTCCATTAGCTAAAGTGGTACCTCAGGTTAAGAACAGTTTCAGGTTAAGAATGGATCTCCAGAACAAATTAAGTTCTTAACCCGAGGTACCACTATATACCAAAATCCTAAATCAGCTCTCTTCCCACATTCAAAAGTTTAAAGCTGTCCTGGGTTTTTGTTGCTTTTTGCCAATCTGAGGCTGCACAAAACAGTCTTGAGTCCTCAACTATCTAAGACAATAGTAGCCAATATCATTCCAAATGTTGTCGGATTGCAAGTCTCCTCAGCTCCAGCCAGCATGGCCAATTGTCAGGGATGATGGGAGTTGTGATCCAACATCTAGAGAGCCCCACTTTGACTGCTCTTTGTAAGGCTGAAGAGACATCACCTTGCCAACAAAGGTCCGTATAGTAAAAGCTATGGTTTTCCCAGTAGTGATGTATGGAAGTGAGAGCTGGACCATAAAGAAGGCTGATCGCCGAAGAATGGATGCTTTTGAATTATGGTGCTGATGGAGACTCTTGAGAGTCCCATGAACTGCAAGAAGATCAAACCTATCCATTTTGAAGGAAATCAGCCCTGAGTGCTCACTGGAAGGACAGATCGTGAAGCTGAGACTCCAATACTTTGGCTACCTCATGAGAAAAGAAGACTCCCTGGAAAAGACCCTGATGTTGGGAAAGATGGAGGGCACAAGGAGAAGGGGATGACAGAGGATGAGATGGTTGGACAGTGTTCTTGAAGGTACTAACATGAGTTTGACCAAACTGCGGGAGGCAGTGGAAGATAGGAGTGCCTGGCGTGCTCTGCTCCATGGGGTCACGAAGAGTCGGACACGACTAAATGACTAAACAACAACAACAACACATTCCAAGCAACTTGTGATATCCATCTGCAGCATCTGCCATTAATTTCCCCTCCTGGATGGACAGCCCTCGCTGAATTAAGGGACAGCTTGGTTCAGCAATATTCAACTGTTTTAAACTTTCCCTGTTTACTAAGGTGGAAACAATTTGGCTACTGATGTACTTGTAACTAAATTGGGTAATGAGCAGAATTTCTTAGCTTTGTGCACTTTCTAATTAATGGAGTGTGCAAAGTGGGAAGGTTTCTCGTTTCATTTTTTAAAAAAGCATCATGCGTTAAGGGGGTGGGTAATAAAAAATCTTTTCACCCAGAACAAATCAAAGGTGCTCAAGGAGGCAAGAAAAACAAGCCATGCATAGACTCCCGACACAAATATTTTTAGCTGAGGAAACATTTGTATTAACAGTTCACAGCAGTTTGGTAATTTACTTTCTCACTTGTTGAAACTGTTGTCTCATTATCAAGCTTAAAAAGTACAGTATTTTTCGCTCCATAAGGCGCACCCGACCATAAGGCACACCTAGTTTTTAGGGGGGGAAATCAAGAAAAAAATCCATCCTGCTGGCTGTCTTGGCTTCCTCTTTAGCCGCGTGCAACCTCTCCAGCCAGGAGAGGCTGTGCGCGGCTTTGGCAGAAGCCAAGACAGCCAGCAGGATGGATCCCGCTCGCTGGTCTTGGCTTCGTTTTTAGCCACGGGGCTGGGGCTGAGTTCCCGCTGCACTCCAAAGGCTTCAGGCAGCTATCCCTGAAGCCTGGAGAGCGAGAGGGGTCGGTGTGCACCAACCCCTCTCGCTCTCCAGGCTTCAGCGAAAGCAATGCGTAGCCTCCGGAGCACGGAGGGAGCGCTCCCTCTGCGCTTTGGAGGCTTTGCGTTGCTATCGCTGAAGCCAAGGAGCCTGCATTCGCTCCATAGGATGCACACACATTTCCTCTTAATTTTTGGAGGGGAAAAAGTGCGTCCTATAGAGCAAAAAATACGGTAACCAATTTTAATTTGGGGTAAAATAATTTTATGGACTAAACCAGGTAATCACACATATTAAGTGCTAACACAGCTTAGAAACAACCAATTCTCACAGGTTGTAGTGGGGACAATATATCCCACCCATATTAAAATAATAATAATAATTCTAACAACATCAGCGGACAATAGCAGGATTATGATTAGGAAAAGGTGACAGGTTCTCCTTCTCCTTCTTAAAGAATTCTTTCCAAAATGTGATTCAAATAGCACTGGGGGACCTAAACAATCCCAAGACATATAGGACTTAAAGTAAAAGCATCACTGAACTTCATAAAGGACAACAGGAAATAAGAAATGGTGTGTAAAATATATTTTTCATCTAAGAGGGCACATGTATACCTACTGGTTCTAAGCAACTCAGTTTCCAGAGAAGTACAGACCTGCCCTAAAGATGTGTCTCTTGCGTACAGCTGAAGTGTTTATAGCTATATGTACTACTATACGATGGCTTCTACGTATCATAGCCCCCAATGCTAGGGGCCTCTAATACCCATAGAGATTCGGAGGTTGAGGTACAGGCTGCTCAACTGAGGGGAGAACCTTTTGTACTTTCTCCCATCTCCTATCTGCCAGAGGATATGGTTCTAACCTTGGACTCATAATATGGGTCCCAAAGAGCACCTCCAACCCAACAACCTCAGAGAAGCCAGTGGATACAGGCAAATACAGTGGTACCTCAGGTTACAGACGCTTCAGGTTACAGACTCCGCTAACCCAGAAATAGTACCTCAGGTTAAGAACTTTGCTTCAGAATGAGAACAGAAATCGTACTCTGGTGGTGCGGTGGCAGCGGGAGGCCCCATTAGCTAAAGTGGTGCTTCAGGTTAAGAACAGTTTCAGGTTAAGAACGGATCTCCAGAACGAATTAAGTTCTTAACCTGAGGTACCACTGTACCCGTTAGATCTTCATTGGCTCCCAGTACGTTTCTGAGCACATTTCAAAGTGTTGGTGCTGACCTTTAAAGCCCTAAATGGCCTTGGTCCAGTATACCTGAAGGAGTGTCTCTACCCCCATTGTTCAGCCCAGACACTGAGATCCAGCGCCGAGGGCCTTCTGGTGGTTCCCTCGCTGCGAGAAGTGAGGTTACAGGGAACCAGGCAGAGGGCCTTCTCGGTAGTGGTGCCTGCCCTGTGGAATGCCCTCCCAGCAGATGTCAAGGCAATAAACAACTATTTTACTTTTAAAAGACAACTGAAGGCGGCCCTGTTTAGGGAAATTTTTTATGTCTGATGCTGTATTGTTTTTAATATTCAGTTGGAAGCCGCCCAGAGTGGCTGGGGAAACCCAGCCAGATGGGCGGGGTATAAATTATTATTATTATTATTATTATTATTATTATTATTATTATTATTATTTAGTAAATAGAGCCAGCACCTCCCTCAGAAAGGTGGGGCCAGTTACAGAACAGGCTTCCAAAAGCCTACAAAAGATTTCAGATAGCTTCAGATGTCTGCAGAGGCAATGTTCCAATAGTTGCAATAGGACCCAGAGCTCCAGCTGGCAGGACCCACCAAGAGCTGTCCGTGGTCCTGAAAGCCCTCTGCTAAAGAGACATGACATGGGAACATAGGATGCTGCTTTATATGGAGTCAATGTTATATAGAATGACAAGCAGTGGCTCTCAGGTTTCAGACAGGGAGCATTCCAGTCCTACCTGGAGATGCCAGGGATTGAACCCGGTACCTTCTGCATGCAAAGCGGGTGCTCTACCATTTAGCTATGGCCTGACTTGGCTTGCCCAGAAGAAAGTCGGACTGACCGTATTCACCACCTCCCCAAGCCCCAGGCTTCATGAAACATGATACTATGCTTCAAGTACCTCTTGCTGACTGTGCAACCTCACCCATTTTTATCCTGTTCCACTACAATAAGTGGCCTTTATTTTTTTGCTCTTAACGGCGAAGAAACACAAAAAAGCCTTTTCCGGCATGGATTTAAGGTGTAAAAGTTACACCAGTTTAATTGCTGGGTGCCTGGTTGTCCTTTAAGAGCAGGATCAGAAGCTGCAGTAAATTTTAAAAAACTGGCAATATTTTGTAAAACTTTGTCCTAGCTTTGCCTAATTTTGACTCGCATTATTCTGACTTCCTTGCTGCTGTTAAGTCATGTCCTTTTAGTTATTTTTTAGCACATCTGGAAGTGATTGAATAACAAATCTATGAATGAAGTGCATCAGGAACATAAATAGTTCAAAAAAACCTTGCATTTTTAATCTTAAGGACCAAAGACAATGACACCCCTCCCCATTCCTTGCCGGGTGAACATTACAGTGGTACCTCAGGTTAAGTACTTAATTCGTTCTGGAGGTCCATTCTTAACCTGAAACTATTCTTAACCTGAAGCACCACTTTAGCTAATAGGGCCTCCTGCTGCCACCACGCCGATGGAGCACGATTTCTGTTCTCATCCTAAAACAAAGTTCTTAACCTGAAGCACTATTTCTGGGTTAGCGGAGTCTGTAACCTGAAGTGTATTTAACCTGAAGCGTATGTAACCTGAGGTACCACTGTAAATGCATCTCATGGAAACGATAGGTGTATTATTCACAAATTCAGTTAAGTTCTCTCTCTCTCTGTATGTATGTGTGTGTGTGTATATATATATATATATATATATATATATATATATTTCAAGATGGCCCAAATATAAAAGGTGGAATTCAGCTAACAAGCCCCAGCAGAAGTCCTGTGTAATGGGTCTCACCTCCCCGCCTGCCCCCCAAATTGGATTGGAAGGGCTGGAAGAACTTTCAGAATAGCACACAGGAAGAGTGGAGAGGGGATCTTTCTGTCTGCCACACTAATATTCCTGCACAGGTGGAATGCTTGTATTCCACTCAAGTTGTATCCAGTTACTGAATGAAAAAACCCTGACTTTTTCTACTTCTCTTCATTGTAGTAGTAAATAGATGGTGCAGGCTTAGTAGAGATTTTGCATAAGACATGAGACAGCCAGCAAAACAGTCTATCAAATTTTCTGAAATTTGACTCAATTTATGTTTTGAATGAAAACCGGGAGTGAAGGGCGGAAATTATGCACCACACATTGCAAGCCTTCAAATTTATTGTCACTAATTCTGTAGCAAATTCTTACATCGCACCCCCTACAACAGCACCATCACTTACAGCAGGAATTATACGCACAGACTGAGGACATACCCTTAGTGTAAAAAACAAAAAAACACTGTAAAAAGAAAATAATGGAATTACAGGCAATACACCCTGACGTGAGTGGAAATTCCATGGATTGAACAGAACATAATAACTTAGCCTACATCTATGTGTTAGAAAGGAAATACCCATTGTAGAAATATCAAATCTTCTGACTGTTTATTGTACATTGAAAAATTATGGGATTTGTTTTAATAACGCAGGTTATTTCCTTTAGATATACAAGATTGGGAAGCCACTGTGCAGATATCTCTTGACTTCCAATTCAGTGCAATAATGTGCAACTAGAGGTATCCAAAGAAGGGCAGGCACCAAGAAGCCAGGCATACATTTGTAAATATAGTCTGCACTAGTGCTGTTTAAAAATAAAAATAAACAATTGCTACTCATATAGGAAGAAAGAATCAGCCTTCTGCTATCAAGACAAGTTATCGCCAAGAGTGCTATGCAATTATGACTCATTCAGTTTTGTAGTTAATGCAAAGAAACAAATGACGGCTTTCCTCATTGTGGAAATAATTTGGTAGAGCCGTTAAAAAGCTGCTCAGCAAAGTAGGAAACTCAAGTATTTTATACTATTTTTAAAATAACCAATTAGTGTCTTAAAACTATTCTTAAATACTGCAAACCATATATTTCCATAAAACTTGGGGGGGTTGGGGGGGAGAATAGGGAAAACAATGTGCCTGGTTCAGCCTACATTAAACAATTTCAAGTCCTGAAGGAGATTTAAGAATATGCTTCATTTTCTCCCACTGAAATCAATGGGATTATTAGTATTTGTCGACCACTAATTGCTACAGGGGAACCGATGGCACAACTGCAGAATCATATGGACATTTACTCACAAGCAACTTCACTGTGTTCAGTGAAGGTTCTTAGGTTAACTGTGATTAGGATTCAAGCATTATTTCTTCCTCTCCTTCATTTATTTCCCATCTTTCTTCCAACATGGAACTGAAGGCAACGTAAGTATGGCTCCCACACGGCCACCCATCCAGGAACTGACTAGAATCAGACCTCCATAGCTTCACCAAGGTGATGGCTTCATGCGCCATTCCCTGGGATATCAGAAACGCTTACCATAAACTGGATCATTCTCAATGTAGTTTTTTTGTTTTAGCAGCCAAAATAATATCTAGCAGAAAATTAAATTAAATGATACATAGGATTGGCTTCTGCCTTCCCTTCAGACACAGAGCGCTAGCACCATATATGAAATGATTTATAACTCCACATTGGCAGTACGTCTTTGTTTTTAGTGACTAAAACTTATTTCTCAAAGCAAATATGTTAATATGCAAACCAGTTTACAGTTGGCCTTACAGGACTTCCATTTGCTTCTCGTCTCTCAACATAAACTATGTTGAAATCAAATCAAATGGCAAAACCCAGGATCCCACTGAAGTCGACAGAACAACCCCGACAGATTTTTGCAAGCTGGACCTGCGTGTTGATCAAAAGGGTGAGCTAACAGTGAGTCCCAACAGAGGCAAATGTGGACATCTCACGACGTATAGTACTGAAAGGGGAGAGTTCAAGCTCTGTTGTATATTCATTGTCATTATCATCACTTGTCACGGTGGAGGATTTCTGGATGCACTCGTCACAGCAGCAACAGCAACACTCCATAAAGGCTCGGCTGAATGGTTTACAAAGACAGAAAAGGAGAACCGGAGTCACACAGGATTTGAAGAACAACAGAAACTGGCTAATAAGGTGCAGGAGGTCCATAGTCTGCTGAGAAACCCCCGTGGACATGTAGGCGGTGACAATATTGCAGATGTTTTCAGGAATGATGCAGAAACCGTATAAAATGGTCAGAGCCACGACTGTGCAGTTCATCTGGCTTTCCAGCTGAATTTGTCGCTTGTTTCCCCTCGTACAGGCCTTCTCCACCTTTCGGATTTTCCTTGCCGTAACCAAAGAGCAAGTAATGGTGAAGAGCGTAGGCAAGCAGAAATAACAGCCAAAATACCACCAGAGCCTCGCGCCGTCGTACGTGAGGGCTAAAACGTAGATGGTGTCAGGCAAGTGGGGAGAGATCTTCACCACGCACCTTTCCACGGGAGGGCTCCCACTGGCTTCCGAGTTTTCCTTAGTCAATTGGCGCAGAACCACCTCAGGGAGCGCCAGCAACAGAGCCCCAACCCATATAACAGCCAGCTTGGCGGTTGTCGACGTACAGTTTTCAATCATCTCGTAATACATCTGCACGTTCGTGGCAGCACGGAAACGGTCTATGCAGAGGGCACATAACGTGAAGGTAGTTACTCCAAGGGATGCCACCTGGATAGGGAGAAATACAAAAGTGAGTTTAAATATGAACGAGGACTTGAAATATGCACCTTAATAGAGAACAGAGACAGTCAATATGATGCGCTCCAGACTACAGCTCCCATCAGTCTCAACCTGCAGGGCCTTCTCGGTAGTGGTGCCCACCCTGTGGAACGCCCTCCCATCAGATGTCAAGGAAATAAACAACTATCTGACTTTTAGAAGACATCGGAAGGCAACCCTGTTTAGGGAAGTTTTTCATGTCTGATGTTTTATTGTGCTTTTAATTCTGTTGGGAGCCACCCAGAGTGGCTGGGGAAACCCAGCCAGATGGGCAGGGTACACATAATAAGATCATCATCATCATCATAGCATTGCCAAGGGAGTATGGCATAATGGGAGTTGATGCTTTTTAATTATGGTGCTGGAGGAGACTCTTGAGAGTCCCGTGGACTGCAAGAAGATCAAACCTATCCATTCTGAAGGAAATCAGCCCTGAGTGCTCACTGGAAGGACAGATCCTGAAGCTGAGACTCCAATACTTTGGCCACCTCATGAGAAGAGAAGACTCCCTGGAAAAGACCCTGATGCTGCGAAAGATGGAGGGCACAAGGAGAAAGGCACGACAGAGGACGAGATGGTTGGACAGTGTTCTTGAAGCTACCAGCATGAGTTTGACCAAACTGCAGGAGGCAGTGGAAGACAGGAGTGCCTGGCGTGCTCTGGTCCATGGGGTCACGAAGAGTCGGACACGACTAAATGACTAAACAACAACAAAGTCCACTAACATTGGGAGGGCTCCACTTTGGCTACCCCTCACTTAAAGGCATACAATATTCAGTACTAGATTTCAAGATGGCTGCTAGCCTGACCCGCAAGCCAGTTATTTCTCTACAGTAGGAATATCTACCCTATCCTTCAACAGGCATAATTAACATACAAACTATGACAGACTAACGTGAGCATCATCTAAGAGATCATGGCAGAGTGCATTGGCCGGGGCACTGCATGGCAGGGCACTGTGGAGCCTCTGGCCTCCCTGAAACAGCCAGCCATGGCTCGTCGCGACAATCTCTCAGCATGCAAGCGGCAGCTACCGAGAGCCACAGTTCCGTCTGTGAGTGCGCCACTTCCTGCCCTCCGCTCTGGAGATTTCTCGGGTTGGTGCTCTTTGTATTTGTCCCTGGCAGGTAAATAGAAACACGGTGCCCGAACCTCACTGCTAGCCTATGGTTACCAGATTATTTTTTAAAGCTGAGTAGCAACAAGGAGTCAGTAGTGGGGATGGTGAGGCAAAAGACCCTGGGCCCAAGCATACATGCATATTGTATAAAGGAGCAAAGCCCTTCTTTCGCAGCCTGTGAAACATAAATGCACAGAGTTTTTAAAAAACTGGGCAACGGCTGGCCGGTCGCCACTCCCGAGCCTCCCCCATCAGTCAAAACAAAGGGAAAAGGGGACAGGAGATCACGGAAGACACATCATATGGGGACTTCCGGTGAGGAAAAATGGCGGGTGCCACGGCAGCAAGCAGCTCCTGAAGCTAGCCAGAGCAAACCGTGCTACCAGGCTGTCTCTGGGCTGCTGAGACTGCCGCTACCACATTTTCCGGGAACAGATTTGCAAATCTGGGGACTGTCCCCAGGAACCGGGGACGTCTGGTAACCCTATGCTAGCCTGAACTTTTAGGCTCAGGAGACGCAAACTGCCTTTGCAGGCTGCCAGATGGGCACTGCGACGTGTTGGGGATTCTCGATACATTGCATGACTGGAAATTCTAAAACCACTCTCGCAATTTGGTTTCAAGCGATATACTGATACATCACCCAGGCCTAGACCTTTTGCATGTGCTCTTATTGTTCCCGGTTTACATTATGCAAATTTCCCATAGGTTGTAATACTGAAAGGTGGCTCTTCCGAAGGTTGTTTTTTAAAAATAAATCTCTGTCAAGATGCAGTGGAGCTTTGAAGGAATACAAACAGGAACTGCTAAAGATTTTTCTTCTCCCCCTATCCCAGAGGTTTGCCTTTATTATAAATTAGCCCAGCATCCACATAGTACATCAGTTTTTAAAAAAGAACACCCTTAAAATACTGGGCAGCTGACTGTAATTTTTTTTTTTTTATAAGATATTTATTAGGATTTTTTAAAAAATATTACAATACAAAATGAAAGGGAAAAAAACAAAATAAAAATGATTAAAAACACTCAGATTTTCCATTGCTTATTTTTCTTTAGCTTGTTTCCCGGACCTCCTCATACCTCCCTTTTTTGTATTCCAGTTCAGTTTGTTGGTTCAGCAAATCCTTACCCTCTTTATTTATCCTATTCTTTGGTCTTAAAATAGTAACGTTAGATTTTTACCTCTTAACAACCCCTTTTTCATATTCCCTTAAAGCATTACAGCTAGAAACCACTTAATTTCTATCCAACATCGTTCTAACATTCATTAATTTTACAATATTTCTGTAGATAATCTTTGAACTTCTTCCAATCTTCTTCCACTGACTCTTCTCCCTGGTCTCGGATTCTGCCAGTCATTTCTGCCAGTTCCATATAGTCCATCAACTTCATCTGCCATTCTTCCAGAGTGGGTAAATACTTTGCAATGAGTATTCTTGCTGCTGTTGTGGCATACATGAAAAAAGTTCTATCTTTCTTTGGCACCAATTGACCAACTATGCCTAGGAGAAAGGCCTCTGGTTTCTTCAAGAAGGTATATTTAAATACCTTTTTCAGTTCATTATATATCATTTCCCAGAAAGCCTTAATCCTTGGGCACGTCCACCAAAGGTGAAAGAATGTACCTTCAGTTTCTTTACATTTCCAACATTTGTTATCGGGCAAATGATAAATTTTTGCAAGCTTGACTGGGGTCATGTACCACCTGTATATCATTTTCATAATATTCTCTCTTAAGGCATTACATGCCGTAAACTTCATACCTGTGGTCCATAACTGTTCCCAGTCAGCCATCATTATGTTATGTCCAACATCTTGTGCCCATTTAATCATAGCAGATTTCACCGTTTCATCCTGAGTATTCCATTTCAACAGCAAGTTATACATCTTTGACAAAATCTTAGTTTTGGGTTCTAATAGTTCTGTTTCTAATTTTGATTTTTCCACCTGGAAACCAATTTTCTTATCCAAATTATATGCCTCCATTATCTAATAATAATGAAGCCAGTCTCGCACTTTGTTTTTAATTTCTCAAAACTCTGCAATTTCAGTCTATCTCCGTCTTGTTCCAAAATTTCCCAATATTTCGGCCATTTGGCCTCCATATTGAGCTTTTTCAGAGCTTTTGCTTCCATCGGTGACAGCCACCTTGGAGTTTTATTTTCCAATAAGTCCTTGTATCTTATCCAGACATTAAACAATGCTTTCCTGACAATATGATTTTTAAATGCTTTATGTGCTTTGACCTTATCATACCACAGATATGCATGCCATCCAAATACATTGTTGAAACCTTCTAGATCCAAAATGTCAGTGTTTTCAAGAAGCAACCATTCTTTCAACCAGCAAAAGCTGCTGATTCATAGTAAAGTTTAAAGTCTGGCAGGGCAAATCCACCTCTTTCCTTTGCATCTGTTAATATTTTAAATTTTATTCTAGGCTTCTTGCCCTGCCAGACAAATTTAGAAATATCTCTCTGCCACCTCTTGAAACAGTCCATTTTGTCCACAATTTGCAATGTTTGAAACAAAAACAACATTCTAGGCAATACATTCATTTTTACCGCAGCAATACGGCCCAGCAGTGAAAGCTTCAAATTTGACCAAATTTCTAGATCTTTTTTCACTTCAGCCCAGCATTTTTCATAGTTGTCTTTAAATAAATTCCCATTTTTTGCTGTCATGTTAATCCCCAAGTATTTAACTTTCTTAAACACTGTTAAACCTGTCTCATTCTGAAACCTCTCTCTCTCCATTGGTGTTAAATTTTTCTCTAAAACCTTGGTCTTTAACTTATTCAACTTAAATCCTGCAACTTGACCAAATTCTTGAATCAGTTCTAAAACTCTTTTGGTACTAGATTCTGGCTCCTGTAACGTCAATACTAAGTCATCTGCAAATGCTCTCAATTTGTACTGTTTGGCTCCGACCTGACTGTAATTTTTTGGCTTATTTAATGTTTGCTGAGATAATTAAGATTCTATAGCAGGCACATTTCAAAAGGAAGGCAGATTCCCATCATAATTTTGAAATATTCTTGTTTATGTACATCTCATAAAAAGTTCCGCAAGGACAGAGTGTGTAATTATATGCAATTATAGAAATGTATCCCACACATTGGCCTTCAGCATTTAATGGGCATATCTGATTGCTAAAAGTCAATATCCCTGCGAAATATGAGGCACTTAGGATAAAACCTGGTAAACTCTAGCTCAACTGAGCAATTCTGATATTTCTTCTTGAGAATCATGGAGCCCTGCAATGAGAGACACGCTTAATTATGCCACAGCTGAAGAACGGTAAATATTTTTTTTTTGGTAGGCAAATCTATTAATTTGGTGAGTTAAACTGTCAGGGATACAGTCGGAGGAAAAAGCTTAGCAAACACAAACCAAATGTGTAGTTTAATTGAGAAGGGGAAAACATATGCCCTCATTCTGAGGTAGTAAAACTTAGGTCAAGAGAATGGGCCAGGGCTAAAATAGCTAACAAATAAGTTGGTTGTGGTGTTTTTTTTTACAACATCACGGAGCTACTAAAACAGAAAAAATTAAGTCTTGTGACCTTGGCTTCAAAACCCGTACATTCTTAATAGCATATTCCCATACATTTAACTATTAGCTCAACTGACATCAAGGCCAAGTTTCAATCATCTCTCAGTTTCAGTCTCTGGGCTCTGAAACAGAAATTGCACAATTGCTTAAAACCTCACCGAGTAGTTCTTATGACAGAATGAGATTAATTTTTTTAACCCACTTCAAAAGAAACGTTGCGAGTGATATACCAGTGAGCTGATGTAAGTGCTGAAGTACGTACCAACTATTGCTGTCCCCCTTATTAAAGTTTTGTGTGACAGTACAGAAAGTCTTATCAACTGCAGCTTTTTTTAAAAAAAAACGGTATTAATAATTGTCATCATTTCATTATATTGCATTCCTTTTTACAGTGGTACCTTGGGTTACATACGCTTCAGGTTACATACGCTTCAGGTTACAGACTCCGCTAACCCAGAAATAATACATCGGATTAAGAACTTTGCTTCAGGATGAGAACAGAAATCATGCTCCGGCAGTGTGGCGGCAGCAGGAGGCCCCATTAGCTAAAGTGGTGCTTCAGGTTAAGAACAGTTTCAGGTTAAGAACGGACCTCCGGAATGAATTAAGTACTTAACCCGAGGTACCACTGTATTGCTAAAGCAACAGAATCCAGCACCTTTGAATGCCTTATGTGCAGTGACTCCACCCACCAGCCTCAAACACAGCCTTGTAAATAAGTCCACAGAAATTACTAGCCTGCTGGCAGAAGAGGCAAGTTAGATGCTGCTCTCTTCTGCAGTAGCCTGCTAAATTTCTAGGCTGGGAATAGAGAAAGCGCTCCCTCTCTTCTCTGCCAGCCCAACGTCCTGTATGGAATTCTTTCTTGCCTGTAACTCCTATGATCACCCTTGAAGACAAAGCTGCCCTAATATAGTAGGATTCTGAAATGTCTAGCACTGGATGAGAGCAAGGGAAATGTTTCCTTAGAACACCCCTGACTCCCTTTGTTAGAGGGACAGAGGAATGGGGCAGAAAAGGTCTAGGACAGGGGTAGGCAACCTAAGGTCCGGGGGCCGGATGCGGCCCAATCGCCTTCTCAATCCGGCCCGCAGACGGTCCGGGAATCAGCGTGTTTTTACATGAGTAGAATGTGTCCTTTTAAATGCATCTCAGGGTTATTTGTGGGGCATAGGAATTCATTCATTTCCCCCCCAAAAATATAGTCCGGCTCACGACATGGTCTGAGGGATGGTGGACCGGACCATGGTTGAAAAAGGTTGCTGACCCCCCGTCTAGGAATCCCCAAAGTTCCATATTACTTTACAAAAACAAGAAAGACCGGTTTGCATCCAGTTGTTAACTACAGAGCTGTTACCTTGGCGGAATAAAGTACAAGATTAGCACTCATTCCCATATTATTTGCAAACATTATTTTGTGGAAGCAAAAAATAAGCACTAAACTTGCCCTATCTTCCATTAGAGTCCCTACAGTTAGGGAAACACCATGAAAATGGAATAAACTGCCATGTGAATGCAGCCTGGGTTCTTCACATCAACCGTAAAAGTTCACATCAACCGTAAAATATCAACAAAATAAAACTGTGAATACACACACACACAAATGCGAATGAGATAGATTGGTCCACTCTCAAATTAGCATTTGTTCCAATGGTTTCTTTGGGAACTGACTATAGACCAAGCGAAAGTGGGAGACAGTTTATGAAAAGAAAGAGTGGTTCGTAATTTACAAAAAATAAATTGATTTAAACCTGGTTATTTCCAACCTTTTCAGACCTAGGACAAACATGTGTTTGGAGACCCATTTCTTATTTTTTGCCATATATTTACATGGTGACAGGCCAATGCCAACACCAGAACCCACCCCCCACCCCCCGCATGCTGAGTGAAGGTGTCTGGGAGGCAAAGAAATTCAGGGAGGAAGGACAGAAAGGAAGGTGTTCCTCCTCTGAGGGAAAAGGGTCAGTGGAGGTGTTGAAGGAAACTGGCAAGTGAGATGAAATGGCCATTTGTTATTTTTACTATTATACTACTAGCAACAACAAGAATGATAAATACATTGGGAATTGAAAGGAAGGAGATAAGAGAAGAAGGGTGCTAGAGGAGGAATAAGTGAATGTGAAAAGAACGGGGAGGAGGAATGAAAGAATCTGGCAGTTTGAGGGTGGGGATAAGGTGCAAGCTGAGTGTGAAAGGAGAACAGGAGACGAAATTACAGGAGATTGGTAAGAAGCATGTGAGGAAGGGAAAATATAAAAGAAAAAGCTCTCTCTGCTTATAGTTTCTGGATCAGCAGCGTCTGACTAAAATGGAGTGTCTGAGTCACATTAGCTCCAGGGCAAATGTCTGCAGTTAAGCCTGAGGAAAGCTGCACTATGGAACACCTTGCCTGTAAGGAAAACACTGTGGCAAATTTTAAAGTAAATTTCCAAAGGTGGATTAGATATCAGTAGAAAGTGAAGTCAGTAACTGCCAACTGAATATGCCAAAATCTACCTCCGTGCCAGTATTCTGTGACTGTGACCATTTTGTGAGCTGTGGGTCTTTTCAGCCATCTCAACTTGGCCCTAGGGATAGAAGGGTTGAGGACCCCCGGTCTGCACTATGAATTGCCCCTTCCCAGTTCATTCGATATCGCATTTGTGATAGACAGGGCCTCAAGAGCCAGTGTGGTGTAGTGGTTAAGAGCGGTGGACTCGTAATCTGGGGAACCGGGTTCGCATCTCCACTCCTCCACATGCAGCTGCTGGGTGACCTTGGGCCAGTCACACTTCTCTGAAGTCTCTCAGCCCCACTCACCTCACAGAGTGTTTGTTGTGGGGGAGGAAGGGAAAGGAGAATGTTAGCTGCTTTGAGACTCCTTAGGGTAGTGATAAAGCGGGATATCAAATCCAAACTCTTCTTCTTCAAGAGCGTTGGAGCTGCTTTCCTATTAACAGAGACATGCTGCAACTTGCAGCTGTGTCTGTATGATACAACTATGTGGGGCGGGCCATCTTTTCCACAGAATTGGCACGTAGCTTACACACAGCTGGAGTGACATCTAAAGGGCACCTAAGACCAAGGATTCTGTTGGTGGACTGGCTGCACGTAGATGCTTTGACCAACTTGCCAAGTTGGCGTCAGAAGTGGTACTGAGGTCTTGCAAGCCGTTGGCATACAAGCTCCTTCAAACTAGCATCATGATGCTATTGGTACTGTTGCCTTGCTGTTTCTGTGCTACAGGAAGGGCAGTAATACAGCATCTGCTCTGCGTGTCAGAATGTGCCAGGTTCAATTCCCAGAATCCCCAGGTAAGGCTGGGAAAAGACCACCGTCTGAAACCCTAGGGAGATAACACTGAGCTAGATAGATCGCCGGTTGGACTCCTATGTACAGCTTCCGATGTTCCTACTCAAATTTAAAGAGCAATCCTGCCATCCCCTACTGTGTAAACTCAGAAGGGAGCTTAATGCCAAGGCCAGCACAGGCAGAACTAATTCTGTAGCACAGAGATAACAAATGTAGCCTTTTTACTCCCCAAATATTGCTGACCTCTGTTTTCTGCCAAGTCTAAAACAAATCCCTTTCTGTTTTGAAATCTCAACATTCAGAGTTTAAGTCCGATACAAGTATTTGTGGATTACAAAGAGCCAGCTTCGCTGTTACTTTTTCCTCACTTGCATCTTTTAAGATGAGGGGAGGGAACTGGGAAATGAACAGTGAGAGACACAAGACTTTCTAATATCTGAATGATCAAAAACAAATCTTACCAGCTGGTCAAAAGCTTGGCTGGCAGAACACTTGGAATGCTTGCCAGGAAGCAAGGATTTAAATGGAACTTCAGGCTTTTTAAGAAAAGAAAATGTGCGACGTAGTATTAGCCAACTACATTAGCCGTGTACCTATCGATCTTATGACACACACAACTTGCCGACCTGTGCTGGAAGCCCAATCCAATTTTCTCTGCCAAATTCGCTTTGAACCACTTCAACAAATACTTTAGTATTGTGGAGCACTGAGTAACTATGTTCCAGTCCTCCCCACACTGCAAAGGTGCCATGAGTAGGAAGCCGCCCAGAGTGGCTGGGGAAACCAGCCAGATGGGCAGGATATAAATAATAAATTAGTAGTAGAAGAAGAAGAAGAAGACACAAAGCAATTTAAGTTAGAAGGTGGACTAAGGAAGTACACTGCTTCTGTTTGTATAACTGGTTGCAAGGAATTATCTGGAGGCGGTTGGAGGATGGATGGCGGCTAACAGATTGAGGTTGAATCCTGACAAGACAGAAGTACTGTTTTTGGGAGACAGGAGGTGGGCGGGTGTGGAGGACTCCCTGGTCCTGAATGGGGTAACTGTGGCCCTGAAGGACCAGGTGCGCAGCCTGGGAGTCATTCTGGACTCACAGCTGTTCATGGAGGAGCAGGTTAATTCTGTGTCCAGGGCGGCTGTCTACCAGCTCCATCTGGTACACAGGCTGAGACCCTGCCTGCCCGCAGCCTGTCTCGCCAGAGTGGTGCATGCTCTAGTTATCTCTCGCTTGGACTACTGCAATGCGCTCTATGTGGGGCTACCTTTGAAGGTGATCTGGAAACTACAACTAATCCAGAATGTGGCGGCTAGACTGGTGACTGGGAGCGGCTGCCGAGACCATGTAACACCAGTCTTGAAAGACCTACACTGGCTCGCAGTACGTTTCTCAGCACAATTCAAAGTGTTCGTGCTGACCTTTAAAGACCTAAACGGCCTCGGTCCAGTATACCTGAAGGAGCGTCTCCACCCCCATCGTTATGCCTGGACACTGAGGTCCAGCTCCGAGGGCCTTCTGGTGGTTCCCTCACTGCGAGAAGCCAAGTTACAAGGAACCAGGCAGAGGGCCTTCTCAGTAGTGGCACCCGCCCTGTGGAATGCCCTCCCACCAAATGTCAAAGAGAAAAACAACTACCAGACTTTTAGAAGACATCTGAAGGCAGCCCTGTTTAAGGAAGCTTTTAATGTTTAATAAGTTATTGTATTTTAATGTTCTGTTGGAAGCTGCACAGAGTGGCTGGGGAGGCTCAGCCAGATGGGGAAGGGGTATAAATTATTATTATTATTATTATTATTATTATTACTACTACCACTACTACTACTACTGCTTCAGATCCAAGAATAAGCATGCCTTTATAACTATCGTTATTTACCAGTGAAACAAATGGCCATTTTATGGCAGCCCAGGTGTGTGGAAGGAAGGCCTGTTTATTGCAGAATTCTCTTCTCAAAACCCACTTTCACAAATCCATTTGGCCCTATCCAAGCAGTTCTAGCCCTTATCTTATAATGGGGCAATGGGATGTACAAGCTGATCTTGCCCTCCTCTGGAGTGTCGTAGGCTCCACCTCTCTGGAAGAGCTGGTTAGTTAACCGAAGGTGCCTCACCTTTGCTTAAATTTCTGTGCAGCTAGGGAGACAGGCATGGAAGGGGACTCACCACTAAGCTAGAGGAAGGTGGCAGGCCCGTGTCATTTGACCAGCAGGGCTCTCAATAAGATACTGGTCTGTCTCCACATGAAAAAAAGCAGCCTGACCCTTAGCCTTCTCAGAGTCTTCCGCCATCCACTCCAAGTCCCCCAGGTCATAGTTCTCAATATCTCTGCATATCACAGAGGGAATGACCACACCCTCCAGACACAAAAAGCATGTGAATAATCCCTCAAAATGCATCGTACACCATGTGCATTTGTTCATGTGGCATAGGGACATTGAGGAGCCCTGAAAAGATAATAAGGAATGTACAGTGGTAAAGGTAAAGGGACCCCTGACCATTAGGTCCAGTCGTGACCAACTCTGGGGTTGCGGCGCTCATCTTGCTTTATTGGCTGAGGGAGCCAGCGTACAGCTTCCGAGTCATGTGGCCAGCATGACTAAGCCGCTTCTGGCAAACCAGAGCAGCGCGTGGAAACGCCGTTTACCTTCCCTTACCTACCTTACTTTGAAGTGCTTTTGAACTGCTAGTTTGGCAGGAGCAGGGACTGAGCAACGGGAGCTCACCCCGTCGTGGGGATTCGAACCGCCGACCTTCCGATCAGTAAGTCCTAGGCTTTGTGGTTTAACCCACAGCGCCACCTGTGCGTCCCTATGTACAGTGGTACCTCAGGTTAACAACTTAATTTGTTCTGGAGGTCTGTTCTTAACCTGAAACTGTTCTTAACCTGAGATACCACTTTAGCTAATGGGGCCTGCCGCTGCACAATTTCTGTTCTCATCCTGAAGCAAAGTTCTTAATCCGAGGTACTATTTCTGGGTTAGCGGAGTCTGTAACCTGAAGCGTCTGTAACCTGAAGCATCTGTAACCCGAGGTACCACTGTATTACAAAATCAAAGGGAAGGTGGGGAAAGAGTTTAATATAGATAGGACATTTTTGATTACTTCTTCTACTATCAATTAAATTTTCCATGTGACCAAGCCGAGAGTGTACTTTACACAGAGGTAAAACACTTAACTCGCAAAGGCAGTCTATACTTTAAATTTTAAAATGCGGATTCAGAAAACAATACAGGCAGCGACCGTTTTAGGTGCTTCCGATATGTGCATCCCACCAAACCTGGAAGTGACCCCAAAATGTCATAAAAGGGGCAGAAGACAGAGGGGGCAAGGTGAGGGCAGAATGGGGTGTCTGCAGGCTTTTTCAGTGGCGTTTCAAATATACACGCTTTCCCATAAAAATGTGGTCCCTTGCAATGTAAACCCCGTGTAAATTGGGAGTTGCCGGCAATTGCAAAGAACATTTTAACAATATATAGCGCGGAAAGATATATAAAATTTTGTACTTTTTTTGCATGTTTTCATTACTAATTTTCTGCATAATTAGCGCCTACTCAGATGTACTGATGGGTAATTAAAACACAAATGGCTGCACTGGGGAAAACGCAGTATTGTTAATTTGGATTAGTGAAGACCCCCCTAAGTAAAATACACCTGCTTATGGTGCAATTGGTTGGTTAACTTGCAGGCTCATAATCTGATCCACCTACTAGGAGATTTGTCTCTTAACAAGTACTGTTATGTATTCAGCATCAATAAAACTCTCACCAAAGGAGTCATTTATAGATCACTTAAGTTTGTGTGAGTGTGAGCCAAGGGGCCTTTATCAGTGGAAGTGGCCTGTAAATAACTACCTTACCAAACACGATCAGAATAGCATAATACCTTTAGAGTGAGAACATGTCACAACCATTTGTACCTGTTTGCAATCTATATTTTTCTCACAGGCCAATATAAGTTCAGCACAAACAGTTGGGCCTGGTGAGCATTTAAGATCCCCAACCCTAATCTGCGGGTTGCCATCTGATTGGATTTTATTCTGATCCTGATCTGATTTGAGGATATATTTTAATTGATTGTCTGATTTTATGTTAATGTGTTATACATTTGATGTTAGCCGCTCTGAGCCCGGCTTCGGCTGGGGAGAGCGGGATATAAATAAAATTTATTATTATTATTATTATTATTATTATTATTATATGAATTCTTCCCTGGATCTACTCTACAGCAATTGACTGCAGCTTAAATGTTACATGTTGTTGTTATTTTTTGGTTCTATTTAAGGCTGCAAGTTTCATTCCACAGGAATACTCCCAAAGAAATCAAGGGCACACCTCCATAGAAAATGCATCAAGGCTGCAGCTATGAGAAGCAATTTCTTGCAGTCTCTTACTAATTTACAATATATGCAAACTGTCTGAAGAACATAAACAATACATTTTCCAAACTGCATGGTCATTTTACTTGGTATACACAATTTAAACTGTATACAATTTTCAGTTGTTTTGTTTTTAAGCAGACTTCCTATTACACCACTAACAAAAAAGATTTCAAATGAAAAATGCAAATGCAGCATATGAATAATACTGTTTCCATAGTAAATTAAAGTTTGGGAATAAATTCAGGAGAAAACACTAGAAATTAAATAGCTGCTTTCCATTGTGTGTGGTTTTTTTATTAGCTAAAGGCAAATTAACATAAAATTGGATTTTAAGTCTTTAAAGAGAATTCCTCTCACAGCAAAATGCTTTTGTTTATGGTCCAGAGACTTGACGAAACTAATTCACCAGAATAGACCACACCCAAATATCCCTAACAACTTGTCCCAGGTGGAGCTTAGAGATTCATACTGGAAACATGCCAGAAGCCCAAGGCCTTAATAAATCTTCATGATTTTGTGGCATGAAACGAACATGAAATCCATAATTTATTTGGCATGAATACTGCAAAGGTTGGGGCAAGCTTGGTTAAACTCTTCATAAATCTTTGTTTAGACCTTCAAAAACATTGCATGACTGTATTTTAGCAGTCTACTCCTTAATAAGAACTGATTCAGGCTGACTGATACAAAGATTTGAGTGTGGTTCTCACCACAAAGCTTCTCCCTTTCAGCCAGCACCCATGAATGGATCTTTTGAGCATATAGATAAGATGAGAGTTCAGGTGATGGTGCCTACCAGCCTTCTTCTTCCTTCAAGGCCACCGGTGATGCTTGGGTAGGAAGCATTCAGGTGACTGAGCCTACCTACATGATAAAAATATCCATATATTACTGATGACATGGGAACTAGCCAGAAGGGAGAAATGGCAATCATACCTCAAAGACGAAATACGGGTTGGACTTCAGAGAACAACTCTTTTAACACAGCAGGGTGAGAAGTGCTTGGCTCAACAGTTAAATTGCCAGCGATAACCCAATTGCTTCACCAGCACAGGAGCATGCAGCAACATGAGCATGGGTTGAGCAACAGTGCGCTAGGTTACTGCCTTTGTACACTCTGGAGGCTATAGAACGTAGGTCATTCATGGGAGTTTTCTCTGAATGAGCACCTATCTCTCCCACAAAGCAGGATGGGAACCTCGCTTACTTAAGAGGGTCAAAGCTGGCAATTTGCCCAGCCTCTATTCACTTATAACATCAGACAGTCTCTTAAATCAGGTGGCTCAGAAACACTGCTCCAAGTATACCAGATTCATGGGGAAACTCCAATACAGGCTTCCTCAACCTCGCCCCTCCAGCTGCTTTGGGACTACAACTCCCATGATCCCTAGCTATCAGGACCAGTGGTCAGGGATGATGGGAATTGTAGTCTCAAAACATCTGGAGGGCCGAGGTTGAGGAAGCCTGTTCTAATACCTAAATGGGGCACAGTAAGCCCAGTTCTGCTTTAGCATGGGGTTTCCCCCCAAACCAGCTTTAGAAAAACAGAGGACAAAGAGGGATTATGTTGTAATTAAGAATGATACAGAGGAAGTGAATGGGAAAAGATAGTTTACTCTCTTCTGTAATGTCAATCATCCAATAAATATTTATTGGCAGTAGGGTCAGGACAGGTAAATAAGGTACTTGTCATCCAACATACACAGTTGGCTTCATATCCATTGGTTTCCTGGAAATAATTGGTTGGACATGGTTGGAAACAGGATGATATGATATGAGTCCTCAGCATGATCCATTGGGACTTTTCTTAGAGATGGAAAACTTGCAACTCTCCAGACACTGCTCAGCTACAGCTCCCATCATCCTTCACCATTGGTCTTGTTGGCTGGGTTGATGGGAGCTGGAATTCAATAACATCTGAAGGGCTACAGGTTCCCCCATCCATATCTTACAATCTTAAGATAAACGCACCTTTAAAATATAAAAAGCAAAACACTGACCTTGTAAGGAACAGGGGAGAGTTCGCCCACATCGTTGCAGGTTTACAATTTCATGCCACTTATTTAAACAATCTCTATACTGCTTTTCAGGATCACAGATCCTCCCAGAATTGGCTTACGATGAAGAAACCACAACAAAACCAAACGTAGCAACTACACAGTTAAAATCCAGATATGGATTTCATTGACGATTGCCTGACAATGACTAGACCTACAGTAAAGGAACACTGGCAGTTGTTATTGGGACATCTAACTTTATAAACAGCTCTGGTTCCACAGTGAAAAGGGATACATTTATTCAATACAGCTGTGTTGTATGAGGAGTGATGCAGTTTAGGGCTATACCCTAAAGGAGAGCATTTATACGTCACAAATCAAAGCTGTTGACAGTTACAAGGTGTTGGGCAATGCATTTTCATGCCGGTGCACCTCCCAGTACAACAGGATTGGGAAGAAAGAGAAAAAGTTCACACCCACTCTTCCATCCCCATGCCAGTCAGATTTAAATACAATTCAATGAATAGTTTCATGCTTAACAAACAGGACCTCCTTCTTAAAATATAATGAGAAGTGTGGGTATTTTTTATCTTCCCTTACCCCACTGCTGTTAGTTAAATGGATATTGTCTTTCTCTCACACACAGAGTAGTATAGCCTGCCAGAATTACTCTATAGCACTATCAGCCAGCTTTAGTGTGTGTGTGTGGTGTGTGTGCGCACACCCCAGTAAATAAATAAAACAGACAACCTGAATGGTGGGAGGATTCTGGCCAGATGGCTGAAGGCCTGGCAGAGTATCTGTGCTCTTGCCAAGAAGCAAGGATTTAAGTGGAACCTGAGGCATTTAAAGAAAAGAAGACAGAAGCGTGGGATTTGGAACTAACCAGTTACATTAATAATGCATCCATCAGTTTGATGGTTTTCTGACTATCAAGCCACATCCTTCAATCCATTACTTTCCAACTCGAGAATGAAAATATTTTTCATCTTCTGCAGTAAATCTGGCAAGAGCAAGAGTTATAGGCAACTTCTCTCCCCACACCACACTATGTGTGGCTTCTTGGGCATCAAGTACTTTCATATATAGTTGATGCACACATGTGAATACATGCATGCATTTGAATTAGATGTACCCTGATTTTCTTTTTATTGTGAGTGCAGGCCTGGCATCCTTTAACAGTGTGGTTTGTTTTGGTAGCCCGGTCCATCAATTAAAGTGGAATATTTGGATTTAAGCCTATTAAACACCGATCTAAATGTGGGGAGTCAGTTCAACTTAAAGCTGTAAAACATATATTTCCAAGTAAGGTTTATTCGAACCACTTCGAATCTGCTTTTGAAATCAAATTGCAGGGGGTGCACAGTCCAAAAATTGTTATCCCATCTTCCAAACACAGCTTGTCTTACTAAATGCCCTAAGCGAGTGCAGGTAGCAACCCTTACATGCAGCAGAGAAGGAAGCCCCCATGCATGAGGATCAGAGCCAACTTCAATCGACTTACATTCACATCATGAGCTTACAATCAAGGTGCTGATCTCACTGAAGTCAACAGACTACAGCAACTGAAAACATAAATACTCTCGCTGAACTAGTCAAAGCTGGGCGGAAGAATTATGAAGCCGCTAAGCACCACCTGAGTCAAATAAATAAGTAAGCAGAAATATTTCACGTCTCCAAATGAACATGACAACATCCAACCATTAGGTTATGAGGAACAACTGATGGGAGTGAACAGAACGTTCCTGGAAGAAGTCTCATCCCAGGAGAGGGATAATTCTTAACTAACTGTCAGCAAATATGGGACATCAAAGAGCAACAGGAAAAATGAGATTACAGGTTATTGCATTCACTGTGCTTACCTCGATGTACGGTACAATTTTGCAGGAGAAATCGTCCAGCAGCCACTTTTTGGTGAGCTCTTGAAAGATTACCAAAGGCAAGCAGAAAAAAATGATGAGAAAATCCCAGAAGGCTAGGTTGGCCAGCAAGGAGTTGGAGATGCTTCTCATGTAGTAGTTGTGGCACACGATGCACATCACTGCCATGTTGCCCATTATCCCAATGCCAAAGATCACTATCGACAGGCACATGACTGCGTAGGCACCATATGATTCCTCAGTCAGCGGGTAGAAAGGGTTCTTGACCCGGGCTGGTCGGAATGTACCATTCCTGAAAGAGCCAGCTGTGGATCCATTCAAAGGCAACGCCTGGGGGAAATCATTTTCTGGCCCAGGAGAAGGAGTCATCTGGCTGTCCACTGAGTCACTGAAGTTCCTTACAAGACTATCCGTGAGAGCCTTGACTTCTCCTGAACTCCCTCCGTCCTGGGGCTGCCCAGCTCCCCTCTTGCTTCTTGCATGCCTTTTGGAACGAATGCTTCCTGGGTCTCTACTGCTTTCCTTCTTCTGTACCTGTGCCCCAGGGAGATCAGAGTATCTCCCAACCTCCAAGACTACAGAAAGGTCTTTATTCAGCTGGCTCTCGCCACCTCCTTCCAAAGGGCCATCGGAATGCTGTGTGGCTTTCCGCGGGTGAGTTCTTTGTTGGCCAGTTTGTGCTGCAGTCCAGCCCCTGGCACGATCATAATTCTCCAAGGAACCCCAGTCCCCCAAATCTCTAGCTGTAGCCTTGGATCTTGCTAAATGCCCTTTCTGCAGGGAAGCCCGAGCAACACTCCCTAAAGGGAAGCCCCCCATAGTCCTGGGTGCCACCACTCGCCAGGGCAGTGGAGTGGCCACCTGGCACCACAATCCACACTCCCTGCCCTTTCTGCCAACATCAAAGCCATCTCCCTTCACTGGCACCTGGGGCGATGCTCCATGGGCAAAGGCAGACAGGGCGCCTAGAAGCCAAGCCAAGACAAGGGGTGTCGTCTTGACAAGCTGCATGGTTTAGGGTAGGAGCTGAGTGCCCTCCAGTGCTCCTTTAGTAACACCCACTGCCCAAGCTGGTGGAGCTGCCAGTCACACCCATTTCACCCATAACCTGGACCCAGGACTCCTTTCCAGTCCCAGCAACGCTCAGATGGGCACCATTGCCACGATAAGAGAACAAGGGTCTAGAAAAACAGCCCTGAGCTGACCTGAAAAAAATGATCCGGAGAATAATGGATAATAAACCATACGGTCCCTTCGTTTGCACAGGCTTCAAGTTCGACTCATGTCCTCAGGAAACGTATCCACGATTTGGAGACAGAGAAGAACCCAACCTCACCCAGAAAAATAAAAGAAAGAAATCTCCTTGCCCAGGAGAGAGGGGCGTGTGTGTTTTTTTTCCACCCCCTCCTGCAGCCTCTCGGGACAGGTCTTCAAAAGTTGCATCAATCCCGATCGCGAATGGAGACTGCAAGCGCAGACGGTCCTGCTGGACCCGCGCACGGAGAGCCACCCGGCGCTCCGCCTTTCCCAGCGACGGTTGCCTGGGGGCGTTTTGCTCGCACCCTCCCAAGATCGCCCTCAGCCGCTGGCCCGCCGTCGGGGCGCGATCCCCGGGGGGAAGCAGCGAGCCAAGCTCTCCATCGTCGCCGCTCCCAGCGGATGGCACACACGAGTGGGTCGCCGGCGCGCGCGCGATCAAGGCGCTCCGTGCGCCCGGGAAGGAAGAGAAGCCCCACGGCTGCGCCGGCGAAGGAGCCGAGGCGGAGCTGCGGCGGCCACCGAACGAAGCATTTCAGAAGAAGAACAATGAGACAAGAGCGGCTTCCCGCCCCACCGGCGCCCGCAAAGTTGCCTCGGGTAGCGGCGCCAAGTTGGCTGGCAGCGGCGCCCACAGCAACGTGTTGCTGCTCCCTCCAGTCTAAGCGGCTGGGCGGATGGAGAGGAAGAGACCCGCCGCCGCTGCTGCTGTCCGTGCGCGGCTCTGGGAAGCCTGTGAGGGAGACGCTGCTCTGCTCGGCTTTCTTAGCTTGGGCTCTTTCCCCTCTCTCTCTCTCTCTCTCTCTCTCTCTCTCTCTCTCCCCGCCTCCGGGCTACCAGACGCGAGCGCACGGCTTCCCCTGGCGGCTTACGCTCTCCTTCGCCGAGCGCTCACGCGAGCTCCCCTTCCTTGCGCGCTTTGTGGCGGCTTCTGTAGCGAGAAGAGAGAGGGGGGGCGGGAAGAGAGGCGGGCGGCAGTGCGCACGCGCCGCTCCCCCAGGGGTCCGGGGCGAGCGGCGCTTGTCCCTCTCGCCCCAGATCCTAAGAGGAGCGAGCCAGAGGCGCCTCGCTGGCGTTTCTCTTCATGGCGCCTATTTCTCTCCCCCTCTCTCTCTTGGGCGGATGCTCTCTTGGGAGCAGGGATGAAGATGACATGTAGACATAGGACATTCGACCCCCTCCCCCATAAAATATTTGAGGAGGCTGCTCATGGGCTTAGCCAGGGGGCAGGTGCCCCCCAAATCAAGTAAATAAATAGAAATACTTAGCTGACCAATTGCGTCACAGATAACTCAGTTCTACACCCCCCACTCAAACATAAGAACTGCTATCCAAAATGGGCTATACCCGGTGCTTTTTTTCTAAAATAAATGCTTTGGGGTACTCTCATTTTCCTACTCATATTGAAATACTGTCCAGCAATAAGGCTAAACTTAGATTTACAAAATGTTTAGCGGTATGCGTACCCCTGCAATGTTCCTTTTACCTTACTACGTCCTGTTTTTTTTAGGGTATAAATAATGGGCGGGGTATAAATAATAAATTATTATTATTATTATTATTATTATTATTATTATTATTATTATTATTAGAAAATTCTCCCTATGTTCTATCAGTTCCTCGCAATCTTTGCACCAATTCTTACAGAATGCACTGCTTTCCAACTTAAGGTTACCAGATTTTTTTCATTGAATCCGGGGACACTTTTCAACTTCAATGGCTTTTGTATGGGGACTGATTTGTAAATCTGGGGTCTGTTCCCAGGAAACGGGGATGTCTGGTAACCTTATTCCAACTGCAATCCTAACTTCCACCTGTATGTATTCATAAGTTGGCTTCCTGAGCTGCATAGCGTTTACGCTTCGGTAGTTGCGATCCTGTAGGAAGTAGGGACTTGCTGCTGTGTAAACCACGGGTCGCAAACTAAGGCCCGCGGGCCAGATCAGGCCCAATTGCCTTCTAAATCCGGCCCACGGATGGTCCAGGAATCGCCGTGTGGATCGCCAGCACGTGGATCACCAGCGTGCACGTTCTTTCCCTCTCACACGGTGGCGGCGCAGGCGGTGCCTCCTCCCTCCCTCCTCCTGGCTTCTCCCCACCCTGCCTAGAGTAGGAAGGGGGCTGGGCTTTCGTGCACCGCTCATCGTCCTTCTGCTGCCGCCAGCCCCTGCCGCTCTCAAGACACAGGAGCCATGGTTGGCTGAGTGCCCCTCTCAAGCAGCCGCCATTTAAAGTAGCCCCTCTCCAGAGCCCTTTCGATCATCGTCTCTCGTTCATTTTTTCCCCTTCAAAATATAGTCCCCCTCCCCCAAGGTCTGTGGACCAGCCCCCTGCTGAAAAAGTTTGAGGACCTCCTGGTGTAAATACTCTAAAGATTGGGCAGATACAGTAAGATTTCCACTTCAAGGACATTTCGAACCCAACCATTATAAATCTTTCCTTTTGGAGAATACATTTCCTCCATAAATCATCGCCTAGCCTTCCTATTTACCATGGCTGTCTTATATTGCCCCTCTCCAGTCCCACGACTAGACATTAAATACCCCCAAAATGTATCAGTTACTCCAGTTTCCTTAACAAGGCAGTGCCAAATGCTTTACACAGGATGACTCATAGACCAGAGCATCACCTCTGGTGCCACATGACCCAGAAGTGCCATTTCCAGTTCCTCTCATCAGACCATGTTTTGTCTGTACAACGGGCTCAGGGCTGAGATACAGCAGAGAACGCAGCTATACGTAAGATAAATATAGAACAGCTTTGATCACTTTTCTGTCATAAGGGGATCAGTGAAGAAAACATAACATTTTGTCAAGACTTCTAGAGTTACACCAGTGTTCTAATATTGTGCAGTAGCATGCTTTCTTGGAGACAGCAAAATCTATGGGATTGACTATGGGAAATATATGGAACAGGGGATACAGGGAACCAGGCAGAGGGCCTTCTTGGTAGTGGCACCCACCCTGGGAACACCCTACCACCAGATGTCAAAGAGAACAACAACTACCAGACTTTTAGAAGACATCTGAAGGCAGCCCTGTTTAGGGAAGCTTTTAATGTTTGATGGATTACTGTATTTTAATATTCTGTTGGAAGCCACCCAACAGGGTATAAATAATGGGTGGGGTATAAATAAATTATTATTATTATTATTATTATTATTATTATTATGTATCTGAGAAAGGATTTTGCCCTTGAGAACTCATTCCTCAATAAGGCGCCAGTCTTATGCACGTTCACCTGGTAACACAGGCATTGTGTTCAATGGGGCTTACTTCTGAGTAATGTGTTTTTCAAATTAAAGTTTTTCAATCGCATATCCAACATGCAACATAAAAACAAGATTCCAAAGAATCTCCTGGACTCCCCTCCTCGCCTTTGTGGGTCCTATTGTTAATCATTTCCCCCTGCATCTTTTATAATTATCCAAACCTTTTACATCTCCACTGCATCCAAAATTCACTGTTAAATTACAAGTGTTATTCCATCTGAGTAATGTGTTTAGGCTTGCACTATAAATGGGTTAGTCTGTGGGTGCCGTGTGACTCCTTTCTGTGCGTACAATGCACACTTTAACCCCCACCTCTGTTTGCATTAAAAAAACAAACCCACAACCCAGCAAGAAGGAAGCAGACAGAAATATACACAGTGTGATGTGTGTTGCCTCTGATTTCTCTGTGCTCAGCTGGCATGAAAAGAGGTAATGATCATAATGAGCTTATGATGCTGCCTTTCCTCCAGGCTCCCAAAGGGGCTTTGCAAATACATCTGATAAATGTGTGACTCTTTCCGAGAGGGTGCTGCCCTGATCAGCAAGACAGATCTCAGACGTATACAGCCTCCCCCCTGTACTGCTAATGTGAATGTACATCTAGATGTGCACCCCTGCTTTCAATGTGTTGTTCACCCAAGCCCCACGGAGGCTGGGTGATCCTTTTGATACGAATGGATATGCAACTCTGGCACCAGCCATTGTATTGCACAAATAGTTTCCTATCACTATAGCAGAATCATTGATATTAAGGCTTCTAGTTAATGGTTGCAGGGTACAGTTTTATAGGGTGCAGTTTTGAAGGGAGGCAATAATTCATCCATTCCCTTTCGGTAAATATAATTTCACACTTTCCTATGCACCTGTTCTTGCAACACCTGACGCAGAACTAATGTGAGCTATGCGATCAGCGTAGGAGGGGATCACATGACAATTGGGTTTTCCTGCACTAGTGAATTATTGCACAAACACCAAGAAAACAATGGAAGCTGCTTTCTCAAAGCGCCATTGAAAGAAGCAGCAGGTACTAGTCTCTGGCTCTTATGCTTGTTTTAAGTAATCTAAAATCCCTACAGTTTTGATTCAGAGAAAGTCCATCTGCTAGGGTCAGAGGCAGTTTTCATTCTATCTGGGAGAGAGAAGAAACATAAACATAAATTTTAAACTTCATTTCAAAGGAGCTGCTATCCCATCCCTTACAGGAGAGCTGGTTAACAAATTTCAAATTTAGGGAGCAAAATCTTGGTCAAGAAGGTTGTTTAGACAGGTAGAAAATCTCGTGGTTGATCAGAATAGTACCCTTCCTTCATCCCCACCATTCCCAGCTAGGAGCGTCAGATAATTCCAACAGAAACAGGTGTGGCGATTGTCAATATTTACCTTTTCATTCCAAGTCCAGAATGGAAATAAATCCCTTGACTACAACCTGTATTTGTTGTTGTTGTTGTTGTTGTTGTTGTTGTTGTTGTTGTTGTTTTCACTCTGCTAATGATATGCAATTGATGACATTTCTCCCTCCTGTTTGCATTGTTTTCTTCGCATTGAAATGAATGGTGTAGAATAATGTAATCATTACATAATGCATTATGCAATTCATTATGAAAAATTATGCCATGGGGGACAGTCAGATGATTAATGCAGCTTTTCCCAGAAGTCAAACTGCAGTGAAAAAGAAACAGCACTGCATGCAATCAGCAGGAGTCAGAACAGAAATCAGCGTTAAGTATCCCTTTTCCCAGCTCAGGTTGTTGTTTGTCTTGAAGGCCAACTTGCAGGTTTATTCTAGCTGCTCGCTTAGGTTTCTTTCTCTGTGTGTTTTAGAAGGAATAACATGTTACTTATTGCCGATCATAGGAATCGCCTTATATGATGATCAAAGTCAGAATATGTTTCCATTATTCTCTGGGAGTTCCACTCATTGTGACAGACTCTCAGCCACACTTCCGGTAGTCAGACAGGGTACTGTGTTAAAATTGTAACATGGAAATGTTTTTTTACAGGCAGCTATTGAGAAAGAAAGAAAGAAAGAAAGAAAGAAAGAAAGAAATTATTTTTATTTATTAAATTTCTATACCGCTTTTCATCTGAGAATCACAAGGCGATTTATAATGCAAAAACACAAAAATACACACCATAGTAACAAACAAAAGCAATAGTTTAAAAAGCCATCGACTGTTTAATTAGCCAAAGGCCCAGAAGAAGAGGAATGTTTTCGCCTGGCACCTAAAGATATGTAACAAAGGCATGAGGTGCTCCTCCCTGGGGACTGCATTCCACAAGCAGGGAGCCACCACAGAAAAGGCCCCTTCTCATGTTGCCACCCTCTGGAACTGTTGTGGAGGAAGCACACAAAGAAGGACCTCAGATGATGATCCCAGGGTCTGAGTCAGTACAAATGGGGAGAGGCGGTCCTGTTTTGTTTCCATGTAAGAACTAAATGGCAAGGAGATAAATGAAGGGAAGCAAATTTTATCTAGCAAAATCATCCCTTCTGACCTTGCTAGCATTGTTTACTAGATCCCTTCTTGTTAACATCTGTGTGTCACCCCTTTCCTGTGTTGTATAAATCACATTATATCAGAAATCACCCTGCTCTCTTTCCAGAACTCATATTTAAAACCTACCATCCTGCAATGTAATTTCACTGATTTCCA